GTTTATCATGTTCATCTTAGCTTATCAGGTTTGCATGCTCACATTTTCTAATTTGTACTAAACACAAAGAACAGATGATGCTGATGAGAATATCATTAGTTTTGCATAGATTTGCACAGTCATTAATCAAGTGTTGGACAAAGTTTTTACAATTCCCCCTGAAGAGAACATTTCACTCAAAACTACAACATCCAATCATGCTGCCACTAAAGTAAAAGTCAGTAGGAGTCATCCTCTGGGGCCACAAATGTCTGTCACTACAAACTTTAATGGAAATGGATGGTGAAGTGACTGACCAACAGTGACTGACCAACAGTTCCATATAGAGCCATGGTGCATCACCAAACATGAACTAGTGTTTGTAACATTAGTTTTCATGACCTACAATTGATTATCGTAAAGCTGTGAAACATTGTGCCCAAAATAAGACCAAAACAAATCAATTTTAGTTCCTTCCTTCATGAATAAAGATGCAAGCTGTTAAGTCAAGATGGAGGCGGTGGATGTTTTCCTTGGACACTTGTCATCCTCCGTCCTGCTTTGGTCTGCTGTCCTGAGTTGTTGGCTCTGTGGTGAGATGTCTGCAGTGGCCCTTCTCCTGGCTTTTCTTTTGCCCGTTGCTGCTGGCCTGGAAGCATGTCCAGCTGTCCCATCATTCTGTCAGCGCCGCTGTCTCCCTCAGCCCCAGATTAAAAACGCCAAAGGGGCCGCCAGGAAAAGTGGCTTGCCCCGTCTCTCAGGACTTATGTCAAAAATGTTTCAGTCCTCAGGTAATTTGCTACAGTCTGGGATCCTTTCACTATTACTTCAAAGAGCCTTGCAAAAAGAGGGAAAGAGAGAGAAATGAAAGGGAGGAAAAATGATATTTAGTTGTGGGTAGTGACAGATCTACATTCTTGAGTATTGACATGCGATCTGAGTGAGGAGTCCTCCTCCTCTTCTGCAGCAGTCTTTAAATCTGACTGATAAACAGCACTGTGTCCATGGACTGTCTTCCAAAATCGAGCTTAGTCAAACAAATTGACTCAACTCCAAAAGAATTCACAGGCACTGCTGTACAAATAGAGAGCGTACTAAACAACCTTACATTGTTACTAAGGTTCAGAAAACAGCGTATCATCTGGTTATTCATGTTTGACACAATAGAACTTATTAAGTACAATGTGCATGCAGTTATTAGAGATTTTTACTTGACTTAAATTGAAATAATTTCCTTCTGCTGCCCAAATATAAGGGGTAACACTGAATGTGAACAATTTTGCCTAAATTGTAGCCCGGAGGCAGCTTTTCTTAATCTGAAAGTAGGTTAAAGTGTCTGCATCAGTCTTAAATTGTCTCGGATTGGTGCACTTATGTAAATGTTGGCAAGAGAAGTTAGCTCTGCCCTCTGTGTAAGATAATCCTCTGCTATTGGACTTAAATACAAACTGGTTAAGACCTGTGGAATGAGGAAGAGAACCTGGAAATGTCTGTCACTTGGAAAACCTCACAGGAAATTTAGATTTATTTATGTAGATTGTTGCAGTTGACATAGAAAGGAACTACTGAATCAGGGTGAATAAGAGGTATTTAGTTTAAGTGAATCAAATTTTAGACATGACAAATGTGTTAGCTTAGCTATAGATTTACTGTGTTCGTGGTCTTGATCCTTGAGGGACAGTCATGATAAGCACCTGCTGAGCTCCGTGCCAGCACACTACTGTGTTTGTGTGTGTATACTTTCAAGGTGCGATGAAAGTGTTTGACACCAGTCTCACAATTTGAATTTGTGCAATGCACCAACACAAAGGTATTAAGAGCTCCTCAGCAGGCCATGACAAACCTGTGGCATCCCAAATCAGCTTGAGTTTTCTCCAAATCAGGAATGCATGGGCGCATTCGTGGCAAACAAAAACAGTGATTAAAGAGGGTAACTGGATCAGCTCTAATCAGCATGTCCTGAGAAAATGCCAAGGACTTTTCAACCATTGTCAGGTCACTCCAAGAGGTGATCTCTTTCCCTATTAATTATGTGCCGCGCCGCAGCAATCGTCCTCTCCAGCGTGAGCGACCTTCTCTGCTTTCATATGTCTGTGAAGAATGATCAAAACATTTCAGGGAGACAGTGTGGAGGATCCAGCTCCCAGTGATGTGCCTGCCCTCTCATTTCTCTGACAAAGAACAATGGCCACCTCATAACTAATGGCACTCACACAGAGAGAGCTTCTTCAGCGCAAAGAGGAGCAGAGAGGGAGAAAAATAACCATTATCCAAAGACATGTTCTATCATGTGATAAATTCTGTTTTCTCTCTAGCCAAATCCTTCGGTGCCTCCCTGCTGAAAATATTCAGAGCTTGTAATAAAGATTTGATCATCAGATAAAGAGTGGCTTGGGCATTGAGAGACAGAAGAAGAGAAGAAAGATGATGCATCTTGGGCTGATGGAATAGCTCAACGACATCCTCTAGTTAGCCCAAATGACAGCTCCCTTTTATTATCCTCATTGTGAGAGGTCAGGGAGGGATGGAGATCGCCTACTCTGCTACACAACTACGCTGTGTCAATGCTGCCCTCTGTTGATGAGAAGTTAAATATCCTCTAAACCTCTCGACTGTTTTCACACTCAGGGTGCTTCTCACTTCATTTTTATCTCTGCACACTAAATGTGTCCAATTAAAGTTTATCACTTGCTTTTCCATTAACTTCCATACTCAGATAGCTAGTGCTCACTGTGGATATTTTATTGCAGATTACACACATTGACTGAATATCAGAGGGGGAAGAAGTACTCAGATCTTGTACTTCAGTAAAAGTAGCAGTGAAAGTAGAAGTAGAAATTGTTAAAATGTATTGATTATATTTTGTATTATTAATCTGAATCAAAGGAAAGTAAGTAGTAACTTAAATTATCATTTAAATGTAGTGGAGTAAAAAATAGTAGTAGTCAAATATGGAAAAGTAAGGTACAAGTACCTCAAAAGTACACAGTTGAATAAATTAACTTTTCACCACTAATTATTATGAGACATATTTATTCACTATATTTACATTTAAAATGAGCTATTTGTAGCCTAACTATATCATATATAATTAATAATACAACAGTAAGAACTGTGAAGCTGTGTTATGTTATACATATATATATAAAATATACAGTGAACACACAAAACTGCAATTTGTGAGTGAAAAAAACTAATGAGTTAAATTCAAAGATGACCAGGTTGTGCACAAAACACACAAGCGACTGAAGTGTTTCACATTCTCTGATATGAAACTGAATGATCACGTCTACAGCAGCACTACTTCTCTTCTCTTGTGCACCCCAGAAGAGGAATATAGGAAACAGGTTGATGAACTGTCCTATTCCTCTGCTGGATGAGGGAAGGATACTTTAGGCAATATGTTGCTGTACAGAAATGATCAGACCTGCAGTGGAAGAGGATTTTCTTTCTGTTAAAACACTTTCATACAGTTCCAGATGTTCCCCTGAACTTTTATTTATGTTTATATAATTATATTTACTATTATTTATAGTTAATTTATATTGTTGTACACGTTATGACATCTTATAACAAAATAAGATATCACAATATAACAATTTAAATTATCAGGTGAAATGTTTTATGTTATAACAAGATAATTACTACACTGTAAAACCAGATAAGTTGATTTAACTTAAACAATAACTAATTACATTGAAAATGTTTTGGGGAAAAAAACTCAATTTTGTAAGTTAAAAGAAATATTCTTAATCAAGTAGCTTTAGTCATTTTAAGTGACAGTGACTTAATTTTGTAATATTAATTTCTACTGTGAAAACAAAATATTGTTGTTATAACATGATAAGTTTCATAATATAACACAAAAATCCTCTTGTTGCAATAATAAACTTTACACACATTATAAAGTGATACTGATCCATTTTTTCTCTTTCTGGCACTTAAGTAACCAACACCTGTAAACACACAGATAAAAAATGGTGGACTTGACCTTTAATGACCTTTAATAACATTGCTGACCAGTTTTCACATATAAGATACAAAGATGAGATAAATATTTCTCAATTATTGAGTTTTTTATAGTTTATTGATTGCAAGTTGAGAGCAAGTTGTCCCCATAATCCAGAATTTAAAGAAGGGTTGTCTCTACAACTGTCTTTATTATCTTTATTTACTCTTTATCCTTTATTGTTTTTGTATGTATCACTTGAGGCAGTAATATTTGATTAAGTTAATGTAACCTGATTGATTCTTACTTTTTTGGGTTGTTCAGCGCACTTAGTGTAAGTTGTGGATAAAAGCGTCAGCTACATAAATATAATGTAATGTCACAAACACAATATCAACCTGCAAATAACAATAACCAAAAAGATTGTATATGAAAGTGGCAAAAAAAAAACACAATACATAGAACACAAGATATAAGAACGTATTAGAAAAATCACTAAAAATAAATAATATATGGAAAAGAAAGAAAATAAATAATGATAACAAAAATAATAATAGTAATAAAATGATGATATAGAAAACAGCTGCACTCTTTACTACTACTACTATCTACTATATTGTTTTTTCAACTTTCAAACCTTTTTTTTACTGTAGTCAGACATGTTAGCAGGGAAAGACAGGTGTATTTAATAACATTGATTAATGATGGCTGAATTACAATTATATGTGCCATATCAGATAAAGATGATGTTTTTTTCTGTTTGTAATTGTATAATTATCATGCTGTTGTTTTTGATTTAAACAGAAATAAAGTTAAGGACTGTGAACATGAAACCTGCAATTTGTTCATGGTGAGTGTATAATTACATATATACAGTAGATAAATGTACAAACTGACACTTGTTTAATTGAAGTACAAGTTTTATTTTTTAACAAAGAAATACAAAATATAACAAAATTTAATCATATGTACACTATACATTCCTGACATGGAGAGTTCCTCCATAGCCAATGGTTGCAGCTAGTTCCCACTAGGTGGCTCTGCTGTTCTCAGTTTTTCAGTCTTTGGTCCATCAAAACCAAGGTCTCCACATGGGTGAGGAAGAGTTTGGTGGTGACCCCTCCCTCGGTGCAGGGTGTGGAGGGGATCTCAGTGTGGTGAGGGGGGTGCAGTGAGGGACAGTGGGCGAGAAACTAAAGAAGGAGGTGTTGGAAGACAGAGGTGACAGGCTGGAGGGGAAGGAGAAGTGAGAGGCAAATGACGGGAAAGAAGGAGAGGTGGCGTATGTGGAGAAAGAGGGAGAAAACCAGGGTGAGGGAGGGGGCGACAGATAGTCGTGGCATGGTGTGGAGCAAGAATGAGGCTGAAATGGGGAGCGAGATGGAAACTTAAGAGACTCTTCTCTCCTCTCAGATGTGCAAATAGCATCCGCGGGCGTTGCATGTGGTCGTTTGGCTGTCTCACTCGCAGTCGTTCTCTGGCTGAGGTCTGGGTTGGTGTGGTTCGACTGCTGGCTGTCTGTGTGGTGCTGCAGCCCCTCGATCAGGCTCGTTCTCTGTGCCGGCGTTATTCTGTGCATGTAGCTGTTCAGCTGGGCCACACACTGCTGAAAACCTGCACTCTCCATGGTGAACAGAGCAGGAGCGTTGGCCTCTGAGTGATGAAGGTTTACCACAGGAGGATGAGTCTTTGTGTGTCTATTAGTTGAGTCTGCAACGACTGAAAAGACACCAGGGATGAGGGATAAAACAGGGGGATCAAAACACTTAGAAAATAATATAATGAACATTTTTCATACATTTTAATTATTTATTATATTAAGGTACACATATTCACTTTTAACTGGTTGCTTATTAGTAGAATATTAGCTCTTTATTAGTCATTAAAAAGCACTTTCTACAACTACTAGACTATTCACGTTTACCTCAATAAACCCATAATTAGTGCCTATTGATAGTTAGTAAATAAGGAAGTTGTTGTACATGAATTACCATATTGATATGCTTTGCTCAGAATATGCCTAATCAGTCTCTCTTAATAACACTTAGTAACAAGGTCTATTCTTCTGTGATCATTTAAAAAATTCTAAAAGATTTCAATTCAAGTTTAAAATAAGATGATCAGTTAAAAAAACGTGTGACTTTGGCCAATACTGAGCACGGCATATTAGTCAGTTCAGAATAGGGAACATATTCTTAATTTAGAGTTATTTGAACACTACTAACACTATGTTTGTGTTTTGTTACATAATGATAGGGCATATTTATTAATCTGTTATTAAGGGACATTAAGTATTCTTGTGGTACAAATATTACATTATATTATAAGGTGCATACTGAGCAAAGCATATTAGGAACAACTTCCTTACTTACTATCAATAAGCAATAATTCGGAGGTTGTTAAGGGCAAACTCTTGTTTAATGGCCTAGTAGTTGCACAATATGGTCATGTAGAATACTTATATCCACCATTAACTACTTTCTTATAAGACAATAGTATAATATTGGTTCTTTTTGTGTACGTTCAAGTGTCACCAAACTGTTTTCTTTCACTAACCATTGCTCTGGTTCTTCCCATTCGTCCACTTTTGAAGATATTCCACAGCAAAGTCAAGAATCTCCGCTTTCTCTATTTTGGGATTCTGTAGCCGCTGCAGGAGAGAACAGTAAAACAAGAGGGAGAAACACATTTTCATCATTGTCAGGGTTATGATTGGTTTATATGTGTGTAGAGCCGGGATGTGATTTTCTTAACAGTGACTCACTGGATCAGAAGTATGATTCAACAGCAAACTTCTCAGCTCAGCAAGACTTTGATTTATTCGATCTCTTCTTTTCTTCTCCACAACTGGTTTCAGAATCTGGGAAGAAACAAACACTGTGAGTTAAAGTTGTGGTCACTTAATCACGGTATTAACTATTTCACCAATATTTACATGTACATAAAAAGTCATTATTGGTTTAATGGTTATTAATGCTGTATAAATCAATAATAAGCCATTATTAAGCTACCAGGTTGTGAAAAATCATGTTTGCATGAACAAACCTGGCAACCCAAACAGATTTGTGGCTTTGAACTGCTCCATAAATGATTATCACATCATTTAATAACTAATAAAGCATTAGTGACAACCTATAAAAACCTGTAAATGGTTCCTTATTAGGCTCTTACCCGTTTTCTACTCTTGCCATCTTCCAGAGTGGGATTCTGTAGTTTCCTGGTCATGTTGCAGTGTTTGGTCCAAGTGTCCTGAGTGGAGGCTGCAGCAGTTCAAACAGTCTCCTGTTTGGGCTGTGGACGGTTATATGTAGACCTCGTGCTGCCTCTCATTGGCTGACAGGTGCGAGTGACGACACTTAACCGAAAATGGCCTCTGCTAACTTTATTATGGGCTGTGGATAAAATCGAAACTAACTATCAAACAGTAATCAGGTTGTAAATTGTCTCTAAAACCACTTTGTTACGATAATTAAATATCAATGGCAACGATATTAGAATTAATCTGTAATTTATATTTAACAAATGACAGAGTTTGCATGGTGTAGTTTTATAATTTATCAATCAAATGTATCACTCAAGACATTAAATTAAATTGTGTTGCTTCATTTTGTAGTGAGAACACCTTCATATAGGTGCATAAATATTAAAATCTTGTTAGATGAGTCTGTATCTCCATCTTCCCATACATCATTAATTAATTTAATTAGGCTAAATGAGCATGCTGGTTGCTTTAAACGCTTCCCAGGAAAAAAAAAGAAGCACCCGTGAAGTGAGACTATGGGAAAGTTTTTTCTTTCTCGTGGGAAACAGAAATGAAGTGAGAAAGCGAGCAGCTATGAGGACTTTTTATGATGTGTGAGACATTTGCACTTTGCATTAAGTGATGAAAAAAGACCAAACGAGGACCGAAGAAGCTCAACTGCAAACGCAAACACCCTCTAAAGTATAGTTTTTGCACTAAAACACACACTATTAAATAGAAAGAAATACATGTATCTAATAAATAAAGCAGATTTAGATAGCACGTTAACAACACTGTGGGGCAGAAGGGGAGCAGCAGGTCACGTGTGTGTGTTGATGCAGTGAAGTGTGAGGACGATCATCACACCTGAGTGTTAAGTGTGCTCTGCTTCGGGTCAGCTCGGTACCTGATGTTTGGACTTCACACGGGACCCCCCCTTTTAAAATATCAAACCAGATGTTCACCAACAACATCAGGCACCCGTTTGATTCGGGCTCTTTTGTCCGTGTGGCCGACACACCCGAGCGGCCACGATATTAGAAGTGTACGGTCCGTTTCTCTCCCACCAAAAGGAGCATTCCCACTAATTAGTTTCCATCACAGGCTCAGGCGAGCACATTATAGGACTTATTTATGGGGCGGGTCCACGTGGCTTAAACCCCGCAGAGAGAGAGAGAGGGAGAGAGAGAGAGAGAGAGAGAGGAAAGAAGAGTGATATATTTACCAAAACAAATTAAATGTATTTTTTCTATAACTACAAGATATTCCCAGAGGAATAAAAAAAGAGGGGAGGGGCTTCTGTGATGGAAATTGTATGTTAAATGCTGAAATCTCCAAAGAGAGTTTCCTTGGTTACCAGGAGTGATCTCTGGGCCTCCACTAATCGCCCTCTCTTTGATTTAAAACGGAAGTATTATTGCCTCTGAAAGGCCACTTAATCTACGGGATCCCCGTGATCCGATCATCCCAGTGTTATCTCCACACTTGAGCCTATTATGGGGATCAGGGGGGCCATAAATGCAGTGCAGGAGAAAGCTACCCCCCAAAAAACTTTAAAAAGAGATAGCCCTGGGGAAAATTGTTCATCCTCGATGTAGAAATTGTTATAGAGGAAAAACTTGTCCCTGCGCAGATCTTGTGCCAACCACACCCACTGGAGATAAACACAACTCCTTCACACACGATGCAACAGTTTAAGGTGTGAATTGGGCAATTTGGCTCCATGACACCAGGCCAGGTCCTGTGTTTGGGGGGGCTGGGGATGGTTTCAAATCAATAAGCAGAAATGTCTTCACCAGTTACATCTATCTGTATTTTATTCCATCATTTAGTAGAAACGCGGTCTGAAATGTGACCTTTAATTAAAGTGAAGTGTAAAAGTGATCATTTTTGATCAGTCTTTTCTATTTTCTGCATTAAAACCTCCATAAAATGTAGTGAAATAAAACTAAAATAGCAGCTCTCGTATGCAGTTTAACTCTTATTCAGTATGAAGTAAGATTGCTCTATGAGATATTCATCATTGCATCAGACTGAAAGCACATTTACTCAAGTGCTTAATTACAAATTCATGGTACTTTAAGGCTTCTTTACTTGAGTATTTCTATTTGATACAACTGTATATGTCAACTCAGAGGCAAATATTGTACTTTGTTTAACAGCTTCAGTTACTTTCTGTGCACTGTGTATCTCCATTTTTGTAGGTGATTTAAAATTTCAATGTTAAACTGGAGGATGAACTGGTCCTTTATGGGCTGAGAATGTTTTTCTTAATTCTTCAGCTAAATAAACTGTTTAAAATCTCTCTTGGATTAGTTGGAAAATGTCACAAAGCTGAAAACAGGGTTGTTTTTCTGAGTTCATGAGAAACAGACTTGGTTCTCACAGCACAGTGACAACAACAAACATACAAAACATGTGATGATCTTAGAGAATATGATGCATTGATGTAGATTAAACCAGTAGTTCCTAAACTTTTTCATGTGAAGGACAATAGATTCACATTAGACCACAGACCACCAATTTGAGAGGAAAGTATTTTATTTTTACGTTTTAAGATAATAAAGTCTTCATAGACAATCAATTAATTGAATTAACTGAATTACTATAAATTACAATCAAACTAAACAGCCTATTTCCTCCCCTGCTGTTCCAACATCCAGAAAATGTGATAAAAGTTAAAATATTATTTTCCTCCTTTTGGACCCCAGTCTGAAAACCACTACCAACTACAGTCCATAAAGTACACTTAACTTAAACATTAAAGTAAAATATCAACAAACACATTAATGTAGCCTATGTGTAACAATGACAGTGAGTACTTTTACATTTTATACCTGAACTATATAGTTTTTATTATTCATATAATTTATTTATATATTCTTTAAGTAAGCTTTTCAAGGCAGGACTTTGTCTTGTAGTATTTTTTTGTTTTACTGCAGTTAAAAATACTTTTACCACCTGAAACTACTGAATCTGAAGTTTTTAATGATTTGGTTGAACTTCTACTTAATGAGACCTTATTTTGGGGATCAAGTCTATATTACAAATGCTATACAATACGTGAAGTCCTGCTGTAGGGTGCGTGCTTCAATTCAATTTTCTTCAGTGTCAAGGCCGCGTGCTGCTGAATGAATAAGAGGCGTGTCCCGCAGGGGCGGAGCTATCTGCAGGTCACATCAACAAATTGCAATGCGCACACAAAAGTTTTCATTTCTGGATTAACGACAAAGACAGACACGAGTCAACTTTTCCACTATGAAGGCTTTATCTTCACCAGAGTCTCCTCGACACAGGACCATGAGAAGGGTAAGCTGCTTTACATTCAGAATGTTTTAATGACTTTATGATGGAGAGGTTCGTTTAAAATCTTGTTCAGGGTCAGCATTGTAACATTTTAACTTTTTAACCCCAAAGGTGTCCAAACCTCTGATGGAGAAACGCAGGCGGGAGCGGATCAACCACAGTCTGGAGACATTAAGGCTCCTGATGCTGGAGAACACACACAATGAGGTAAAGCCCGTGCGTAATGCCCTTATTTATAGTGGTTAGTTTGTCTGATATCAGGATGTTATTCTACACAAGTGCCCACTGTGTGACTGATGTATACTCTTATTTCTCCACATAGAAACTGAAGAATCCAAAGGTGGAGAAGGCAGAGATTCTGGAGAGTGTGGTCCATTTCCTGAAGACAGACAAGGAGGTGGACAAGGGCCACCGGGCCATGAAGAGAGTCCTCTCCAGGGAGCAGAGACAGACCAGTGTCCGCCAACACAACTACAACGACGGCATGAGGTCCTGTCTGCTGAGGGTCAGCCACTTCATAGCCAGCAAGAGCCAGGAGTTAGAGGAAACCGGTGGGGACTCGGTTCAGGCTTCTCTTGCGCTTCCCGAGCCCCAGACGCACCCTTCCACTCCCAGGCACACCCACGGGGCCCTGGTATCCGCTCCTGAGGGTGTCTCCGGTGCTCGGTCTCCTCAGCATCTGTCCCACCAGCACGGGATCTCTCGTGCCTACCTCACCCAGGTGACCGGCCTCCACTGTGACTCCAGGGAGCTGTTCTCCTCCAGGGCCGCCTGCACGAACTTCACCGACCCCGTGTGGAGGCCCTGGCCCCAGTGACAGACACTTTGACAACAGATTTTATTTTACATATAGATGCCGACAGACTGTAAATATGTATTTTATTGTACAGCTTGATTCGCAGACGCATTATTTTTTTTCCTGTCTCTTTTTTAAAAGTTGTGCAAAGTGTACATATGTGATATTTTTAGGCGGCAGTGTCTGCTGATTGCTGGTATTTTTAAACCAGGATACAACTCTGTCTGAGTGTATTTGGTGTTGCTTAAACCTGCGCGTAAAATCGCTTAATCTGCTTTGACTTTTAAAGCATGATCACGTGTATAAATTCTATTTTTTTGCTACCTTTTGCTCTGTGATGTATATATTTGAAACATGATTTTATTTTATGATTGTGCTTTCTCCCTGTACTCATTTACAATAAAAGTACAACTTCCTGATCATTCCAGATCCAGAGTGGCCTATTTGCTGTGTGAACAGTTTGTACTTGAGCTGCACTTTTACAGAAGAGGGGACATCCAACAGAACAGTTAACACATACTTATATCCAGGCTGGACAGCAGTTATGACACATTTCACCATTGACATGCTGATGGTTGGGGAGTAGTTTGCGTCTATGATCTCAAGTGCAGTCGTTCAAATGTAGAAAAACAACCTAGAGTGGTCAATCACACACTGCAGCACCCAGTCTGCCTCAGGTGGTAGCACCCGATCTACCAAATCCACATTAGAGGTCCAAGTGTGTCAGACCTAACTGACTGTAGTGCATCCAGATCACAGTTAAAATCGTTATTAAATTATTTTCTGCCTATATTAAGTATAAAGCAATAGAAAGCGGTTTACTTGTCATGCATTGTGGAAGGAATTCTATTAACCTGTAGGTTTATACTTAAAAACTGTTGTTTCTTTTAAAGGTTCAGTCCCTTTTGGCTGCACCAGCAACCAGCAAGTGTTGAGCTGCGTTTTTACCACCTACTCAAATTCTCCAGGTGCAGAATTACACTGTTTATGTTGGAAGAGCCAGTAAAAGAGACAGAGACACAATATAGAGCAGCTGTCTCTGATGATGGGGGAGGCTAAACATGAATCTGTGACACTTTTCTGCCAACAAAACACATGATGTAATAATTATGCAGTATTCAGTATGAAGTTTTTACATGTTTACACTGGGTTGGGGGTTGCTGGATGAGACTGTCTGGGTGCTGCAGAGTGTGGACAGTGTGTTAATGGTCGTTATCGTGTGCTATTCTACATTTGAAAAAAAAACACGGCAGTAGAAGCATCGAGCTCACTCCTATCAACATATCAATGCACACTTAAAGGTCTCATAACTGCTCTGCACCCATCCTGCGTTAAGTATCAAGCAGCACTTCCCCCTTCAGGGCTGGAAATAAAAAAGGAATGCAGCTCATCTAATCACTGCTTGATTTATTGTGGCTTATTATTTCACATGCATATATTGTACAGGGAGGTTGGGGAAGCCTACAGTTGGTTGTTAATGCTTTAAAATGAGACGATGCACTGAAATCCAAACAGCTTTTATTCCATGGAAGCAAAGAGGTTATAAAACATATATTTATATATATAGACATTTCTTTGCATGAGAACCCTTCAAACGAAAAAATTGTAGCCTATTGTAAATATTTAATTTGAATATATTCCTAAGATATAGATCTATATTTTAAAGAAGCAAAACTATATAGTTTGTCCAATTTATCATCTTTTTGAGTGTCTGGTTGGAGGATGCACATTCCTTCAAAGCCTGTTTGAAAACTTCCTTTATCAAAGCAGGTGTTAGTGCCGCTGGGCTGAACTCTGGACAGGATGCTCTTTTGTGCGCTGTAAAGCTTCAACCTCCTGGAGAAAAGCCCACAGGACTAAGTAAATCAATTAAAGTTGGAATCAGATTAGGGTTTTAATCTGAGGGGGGCTTCTATCTAAATGAAGATTAAACGGCTCCAGTGGCAGAATGTGTTGCGAGTGTAAAATGGGTAAGATATATTATAGTCCAATGCGGATGGATCTACTTAAAGTTTGTTTACTTTATAGACAAAAAAGCCCGCGGAAATGCGTCCCACACTGACTGCAAAATGACCCCAGGTTTAACAATCCTCCAGCAGCAGTTGTTTCTGTAACTGTTGGTTTTTACCACATCAGCGCGAACACAATGAAGGCAAAGTGATACATCACCTTTTGGCCTCATCAGCAAACCATTTGAAGACTGCAGTTCACATAACGAGCACTCATGATACTTTTATTGGATGCTTCTCCCATAAAACCTCTGGAATTATTTAAAGTTTCTCTTTAATTCATCAGTTTTTAGAATTTCCTAGGGCTATACCTATCAGAAATGCTTTAAAACCTCAATAATTTACGCGTAATGAGCCAGAATAAGATGTTTAACTGGGCTATAACTGAATTTAAGAGATTATTTCAGTCTTTATATATTGTAGAATACATGTACATACATACATATATGTACATAGACCGGCGGCCACGTGTCGGCCAGCTTTACAGCTGAATGCTGGGTATTATGAAAGCGCCACACCTCAGGGTGTTAATGGGTTTGCTGCTCCACGCGCCAGAGGTGACAGGCTCGTGCACGAACACAGCCATTTGTGACCCAGTGTTATTTCTGCGCGCGTGTGTGTGTGTGTGTGTGTGTGGCTTCATGCAATAAGGCTGTAAGACGTTTCTATGTAGGTAAAGTGTGTGATGATTTAACACAAATATTCTTCTAGATGTTAAAAATGTATTTGTTTTGCGCAGATTTTGCGGTCATTTATATTAGATTCCTGTATGTTTGGTTCAAGACCTTTATTTGTCACCGAGAGGGAAGAAAACACGTGTTTTCATTTAAATTAAAATAGAAATTATTACCAATTTTATGAAAATCTGCATTTTTGTGGGGCATTCTGCGTGGTTGGTTTAACACAACAGAGTTTGTATAAAGTTTGAATGTTGTTGTTGGAGGCGAAATGGATAGAAATGTCGCCAAAAGTTTCAAGAACACTTAAACATTTTCTCATCCTGTATTTAAGACAGAATTTCCCGGAATGTTCCGCCTGCTGGTGGATGAAACAATTAAACTTCAGCTGGCCAATCAGTAATTATTAATACTCAGGGTACTAATTGTAAACGTAAAGCCATTCTAAATGTCTCAGCTCGAGTTTGCATTTGCTATTAAGCCGGTTTTTGGTTCTAAGACCTTAGAAGACTTTGTTTTGGATTATTCATGTTGCCTAAATCCTCCGCTGGTGGTAGACGGCGGGGGAAAGCACATTCATTAAGGCGAACAATGCTGCACCGCTGGGCTTTTTTTCACTGCTGCGAGGTGTGGGGCGGGTCAGCGGCTGCACAACAGCTGCCCCGGTGGCCGCCAGCCTGCCCCAGCAATTACAGCAAATGTTCAGCAGACACAAGCACACACTTACACACAAAGGTGCTACACAAACCTGTTCTGTGACCAGTGAAAGAGAAACTCTGTGCAAAACTGAGGAAAAAGGTGAGTTCATGAAAAACATGTTTATTAGTAACAAGAGAAAAGTCACAGTAATAATGCTGCAAATGACAAGATACAAGCAGGATTCACTTTATGTTGTGAGTTTACATTATATTATGACTGACCCCTTCTGTTTATCTGTGTGTGTGTGTGTGTGTGTGTGTTGGGTTGTGTGTGAGCATGCAGCTGGATCACTTGGTCAGACTTTGCCAACAGCCAGGCCCTGGGCTTTCTGAAACTCCTGCTGTAAACTGGACAAGACTTCTCGATGCTGTTCAGATTTCTTTTCCATTTCTTTCAGGAGCGCCTCATACCTTTGACTGTAACAGGAAATGAGAAAAACAAGACAAAGCACGATGTGAGATTCATTTCATAAAGCGAAAACACATTTATGTACGGAAGGCACTGACACGAAAGATGTTACTGATGATATTGCGACTGTATATATATCCCACACAAACATAGGGTACTGGAGTAGACAATGGGAGTTACACAAAAACACCAGACGCTCCAGACTAAAGAGAGATTATAAAGTTGATTCAACAGCACTCTGAGGTTCCTTAATGCCGCCTGCTGTGGCAAAATACACAGAAATGATGGACTGAGGACTGAGACAGGGATGTTGTGGATTGTCTAACTCCTTACTGCCCCCTACATGTGAGTGAGTATATTAGCTATGCACCAATATATTTTTTTAAGTAGTCAGGTGTCTACTTGTGTGAGGAATTTCCAGTCAGTGCCAACATTGCCCAGGTGCCCATTAATGCTGAAAGTATGTGGAGAACTAGAGGGTGTAACATGGGTTGTAAAACTGAAGAGACTGAATGTTTTTAAGAGACTTTCTTAAAATCACTGATGCTATACAATAAACGCAGCGACATTTACACATGGTAATAATTATACTGACAATTTTATTGACATAAAGTCACAGCCAATACAGTACAAATACCACTGGATATACCAACTGGCAAAATGTCTACTGGGCGATTGATAAGCATATCCAGTTGGGATGTCCCGATCAAGGTTTTTTGCCCTAATACTGATCCTGGTCATTTAATATTGAGTATCTGCAGATACAGAGTCCTGATCTGATGCTTGTCATTTTCTGGCTATTACAGGCGCATAGTGCACACTTCAAGTAAATACGTTTTTAAAATCCATCCAATATACACTACAGGCCAAAAGTTTGGAAGCAAGACCAAATTTGTACAAAAAAAGATCATAGTTTCATTGGTATAATAAAATAATAAAAACAGGATTATTATATAAAGAGTCTCTTATCAAAATACATTTTTACTGTAACTATCAGGTATTTGGGTTTTTCTTGCTTAGACTTTTGCTTTCAAAGTAACCTCCTCTGGCTTTAACAACAGCATGGCATATACGAGGCATTCGTTCCACAAGTTTTTTAAGGTATGTGCCAGGAATTGCATTCCAAGCTTTCTTAAATTCATCAATGAGAGACTGCCGATTCGTAGGACGCACTTTTCTGACCGATCGATCCAATTAGTCCCACACAAGCTCAACTGGAGAGAGGTCTGAAGAACACCTTCCTCTTCTTTTTTGTCTAGGTGTCCCTGACAGAGCTTGGAAGAATGCTAAGGGTCATTATTTTGCTGCAAAACAAACTCTGGACCCAGACTGCACGATGCTGGAGGATGGAGCGGTACTGTTCCTTCTTCATGATACCCTTTACGTCAAACAAATCTCCGACTCTATCGCTTGCAAAACATCCCCATACCATGGCACTACCACCTCCATGCTTTACTGTGGGTGTTACGCACGGTGCTTTAAGACGTTCACCCGTTTGTCTGCGGACATAGACTCTGCGGTTTGAACCAAACAGTTCAAACCTGCTTCCATCGGTCCAGAGAACTTGTTTCCAATCATCATAGGTCCATGTTTTGTGTGCTTTTGCCCACTCATATCTCTTTTCTTGTTCGTTGGATGAAGTAGTGTTTTTTTTGCAGATACACAACCCTTCAGACCAGCCTTTCTCAAACACCTTTTCACAGTTGTCAGAGATATGGGTTTTGACCATGTCATGTTGATTTCCTCCCTTATTTGTGATGCTGTTTTTCGACGATCTCTCTTACTGGTGACGATGATGTTTATCCTCTGCTTTTGTAGTAACCCTCTTTCTTCCAGACCTTTTCCTGTCATCATAACTTTCAGTTTCTTCTAGCCTCTTCAGGGCGTAGTGAACTCCTTTGTTGGACAGCATTTCTCTTTCAGTGTATGCTACAATCCTCAATGTACAAATCTGTACTTTTGTTTCTTTACTTAGCTGTTTCTGTCTAGCCATTTCTGTGGTAGTGTCAGAGATATTAACACAGTTGAGATTTATTTGTATGTAAACTCTCAACAAAAAAAAGTGAATAATACAAACTGTGATTTGTTTTTTTTTAACTTTTGCACTGAAGTTGTGACTCTGGCAAATCTTCTCAACCCTAAAACTAAGCCCTTATTTTTCTTTTGTTAACATTTAATCAGCAATGGTCTGATAACATCAATGTATACCTAAAGGTAAACTGAGGAAAATGGTGAATATCAATGAGCGCCAAGTCTGATCATGCAGTAAATACAACCCAAAGTCCAAAGAATTCATACTGATTCTTAAGAAAGGCATTGTGAACAGAAACTTGAAGTTGCTTCCAAACTTAATTCAATAGTTCTGCATTGCATTAAGGAAATAATTGCTTGCATCCAAACCTTTTTTACAAAAATAAAGTAGGCTATAAAAAAAACAAATCCTCTCTGTCATCTCTTTGGCCTTGTCGCTGTCTCGAGGGAGTGTCCTCCAGTGTTTGGTGCTTCGGTGCAGCCCTTCCCTGAGTTACCTGAATCAACTGTATTTCATTGCCCTGTTAAATTTGTCGTCTGCACATATTTTGTGCGAATTACATTAATAAATTCCTCTTATTGGCTTTTTGTTGCACTTGCAGTGGCAAAGTGATTCCAATTCAGTCTCACAAGGTTTGATTTACTGCAGCTAAATGCAATTTCTAATTGAATCAGTGACTACGATCAGCTGAAACAACATAAAGGGTCACTCTAAACACCAAAGCACTAGTACTCAAACCAAATATAATGAACTGTGTACTATTATTGTAACAATCTTTGTTTTTGAAAAGTTTTAGTGTATTTACTTTAACGTTGTTCCTTGATGTATTCCAAGTGTTTTTTGTTGTTTGGTACCTATATTCAGTACAATCAGAAAATGCAGTTCTGTGTCTCTCACTGATTTTCAAGCAGTTACATCGTCGAACGTACACCTGCCTAACATTTCCTACATCATATATGGGAGAACACATTCATTCATGCTACAGAAGCAGGATGTAGGGCAGCTTTAGTGACTCACATCTCTCCGTTGATGTACTCCAGCCTTTTTGTGACTGTTGCTTTGGCCTCGTCCAGGTCTTGCTTGACTAAAACTGGACCAATAAGCTTATAAACTGTGTTTGTGCTGTCCAGCAGATCAAGCTCCTAGACACAGAGAGAGAGGAGAGAGACAGAGAGAAAGAGAGATATTTAATACTACTGGGGTTAAATGACAGGAGGATAACACATATACACAAAACAACCTTTAAAATACCTCTTTGACAATGTTGTTCTCTGTCAGCTGAGTCTCCAGCTTCTGTCTGGCTGACACACTCTTGCTCACATCTAAACAGCAGACAGGCGTTAGTGAGCACATTTATTATGTTTTTCAGCATGCAATCATCATTGTTGCAACTCTAAACAATAATTACAAAAAAAAGTACAAGGTATGTTTAACGAGTTCACGTATGAACAGCTGTCCTAATGTGGCTATGTTAGTTAGCTCGGCACAACATGGCACGGGATGAGGAACCATGCTGGCGCCTACCTTTTTGCATCTGTGTATATTTTTCTACTTCAGCTTTCAGCTTCTTTTGAATGCCGTCTGCCATGTTTGCGTTAGGTGGGGAAAGCAGCAGAGACTGAGAGTGAAAGTGTGAAAGAGACAAGGAGCTAAATGTGGTATGACATGAAACAGCTCTGTGTTAGCAGGCTAACCGGAAAGGGAAGCGGCTACAGCGGAGGTTACCCTTCAAAGTAAGAGCCCAGGCTACTTTAGGGTTGGCAAATGTGGGAGGAAATTAGGATAAATTAAAAAAAAAAATACTCATATAAAGAAACCGTAAAATCACCTCACAGTTACTATGTTTTTATATCGAATAATTTAAAAGATTTTAAGTAGTTGGTAGATTTTTATTTTGACACTGTCATGGTTGCGGCTGCCTATTGCATTCATTTGAAAAATAAAAAAAACTCCGGTTTTTCTGAGTAATTTATTTTTTTGTTTGTTTTTTTTTGAATATTTTTTTCTGTTTTTTCTGAAAAAAAATATTCAGAAAATCAGAAAAAAATATTTAGAAAAAACAACCATAAAAAAATGACCCCGAAAATCAGACAAAAAAATAAATTGTCAAGTGAATGCAAAACGCTTCCCTAAGAATTAGTAAAAAAAAAAAAAACAGGGGAAAAAAAAATATTTAGAAAAACAGAAAAGAATTACTCCGAAAAACAAAACAATAAATTAATAATTAAACAAATAAATTTTCAAGTGAATGCAATACGCTTCTGTTAGAATTAGTCAAAAAAAAGGGGGAAAAAAATATTCAGAAAAACAGAAAAAAATTATTTAAAAAAAACAACCAAAAAAAAACTACTCAGAAAAACACAAACAATTACTCCGAAAAACAGACAAAAAAAATTGACTCCGAAAAACAAAACAATAAATTAATAATTAAACAAATACATTTTCAAGTGAATGCAAAACGCTTCAGTAAGAATTAGTCAAAAAAACCAGAAAAATAAATAAATAAAATCCTCAGAAAAACCCGGAGTTATTTATTTATTTATTCATTTATTTCCTCAAATGAACGCAATACGCTTCCGTAGTTTCACGACACCGTCTTTACGACACCGCACTCCGCTCCTCGTCTCCCTGCTTCAACATGGCCTCGTCGTTCTGGAAAGGTGTTGTCGGTGTCGGACTCTTCGCTTTAGCTCACGCAGCTTTCTCTGCGGCGCAGCGTAAGTTTCCGCGCGGGGGGAGCGAACACGCAGCTCGGTGTGTGTTTCTTCGAGGGAGGGTGGTGGGGCTCCGTGGTCTCCGTGTAAAGGCGATAAAACAGCAGCTCGGGCCTAAAACCTGCTGCACGCTGCAGCTTAGCCCCGTTCAGACTCACGATCAGAGTAAAAACACTGAAATCTGAAGGTGCAGTTGGTGTTTAAGCGTCTCCACCGGCGGGAGGTCGCGTTTAAAGTGATTTAGCACCGCGTTAAATGTTGCAGAGGGTTTATTTTTGTGTGCAGATCGGTTTATTCTCAGCTGCTATCGGTGTTCATGTGAATGGCTAAAATGTTGACATGTCTCTCTCCCATCAGATCGATCATACATGAGACTCACGGAGAAGGAAAACGAGACACTACCAGTCGATGTGAGTGACTTTTTCTGCTTTAATCCTGAATTTCCGCCTTTCCTTTCACAATAAAACCCCCAAACAATTGTTTTTTTGTACTTTATTGTCATTCATTCTCTGTGTGCCTCTGCAGATTGTATTACAGACCTTGTTATCGTTTGTGATGACCTGTTATGGTATTGTCCACATTGCTGGAGAGTTCAAAGACATGGACGCTTCCTCGGAGCTGAAAAACAAGTAAGTGGAGTTACCCCAGTTGCTCCCCATCTCAGCTGCATTTACAGTCACAGTACTTTGAGTTAATTCCCACAGATGCACACTAAAAACCTCCCGAGTTGCTGTTATGTCAGTCAATATGGCATAAAAGCCCAAATAACTGTGTGTGTGTGTGTGTGGAGCATGATGTAATAAATGCATTAGACAGAAAAGATCAATAATATAAAGAGTGCATTGAAAACAATACGTCAGCTATACAGATTGTACATCGTGCTTTTTCTGTTTTTTAATGGCTAAATGTTTAAACTACAGAGGTTCACATTTGATCACCTGTCACAAAATGTACATTAACAGTTTTTAAAACGGGTCCCGTGCCTTTAATCTTTAAGATCTAAGGGAAAGGACTCCTGAGTTTACTCCCTGAAGCAGTTTTACAGAATATGCAGTATCAGATTAATAACAGATCTTAACTGATAATTGAGGATTTCTGCCAAACACTTAGTCTGTCCGCCCACCACGAGACACAGAAGACAGCTATGTCCAACTGTTTGAATGTGACTGGAATAATCAACTATTTGTTGTATGAAATATCAGGAAATGGTGGAAAATGTCCAAGGTTGTGTTTTTTTTAAATGACTTTCTTTGTCCAAACATATTCAAGTTACAGTGATATAAAACGAAGGAAAGCAGCAAACATTCGCACTTAAAGAAGCCGTTTTCAGCTTTAGATAATCAGTATTTGTGTTCATGTTTGGTCTAAAACAGTTCTGTATTATTTATATTCATGCTTTAATGTAATTCTTCAACTAGTCTATTAACCATAACAGACACATTAGACAGATAATAAAATGAGTGCATTGAAGAAACACTCCAACAAATGAAAGGAATAATAAAGCCTTTGTAAAGAAGATGTAAATATCTTTTCATTTCAGTTTCCATCGCCTTAAATATTCATCAAATATGAATACTTACTGACCTAAAGATTAAGATTTAAGGAAGAACTATTGACATAAAGGAAATAATAAGGCTTCCCACAAGTATCTGTAGATGCTGTAAAAGAAGAATAACTGTTTATTTCTCTACATTACTACAAGTTGTGACTGTGTTTTATGTCTCTCCCAAAGACTCAGACACTTCTATGTTCCCTGATTGAGACATAAGAGCGCTCTCAGCAAGTCAGTTTTATTTATTCCACCCAGAGTTACATCAGTGGGACCAATCAGAGTTCCCTGTGTTGTCTAACTGGCAGATATTTGATTCCTTTTTCATTTTATCTAGCCTCAAACTGTTTTATGCCACAAACCTCCTTGTTTCGTGTCTTTTTATGTCCTAATTCCCCATCAAGAGCACATGTGGTAGTAGTGCCTCATGTACATTGTTCCATTCAGGTAATCACAAGACTCTGACGGCATTATGTGTGTCTGTTTAATTCTTTTACTCTCTGAATTTAAACCTTTTTAAGGGAGGAGATGAAATGTGCGACTGTGCAGACACATGTGATCTGCCATTATAAGAGTTAGTCCTGGGTGATGTGTTACAGATGTGCATTACTACCAGTTTGTGTCTTTGAAAGCAGAACACTATTTGTGCATTGTCTGTCCTTTCATACCTTTTGTTTTGATCCCCCTTTTTTTTTCCAGAACATTTGATACACTGAGGAACCACCCATCCTTTTACCTTTTCAATCACCGGGGGCGGGTGCTATTCCGCTCGCCTGAGGAGGAGCCGTCCTCTGTACGCAACCAGCAGGCTCTTCCCAACCCCATACGGCTACGCAAGCTGGAGCATTTGCACTGAGGCTGGCCTCTCCTGCCTGTAACCTCCTCAACGTCAGATATTTGTTTTTGTTTAGGCAGAGAGGGAAGTGAGAATTCATCTTCCTCTACTTTAATTTGTATTTGTACATAAACTAATATGCTGTCCAAACGCGCATCTCTGTCCATAAAAGTGGTCACCACCATATTCAACACTGACTGTGCCAACCCTTCAATTTTTCAAGCAGATTTGTTTGTATATACAGTATGTAAACGCTTTGGAGTCTTAAGATACAGAGTCATCTTCCCTTTTTGTCCCTTCTGAACTGAAGTGGGATCTTGCTGTCCTTTATATATTCTTTGTATGAGGGGCATTCAAAAAACGCCTGTTCTGTTACTGTTTCATTTCATCTACACGTCAGTCTTCAGGAGCCGTCTGGGCAAAATATTGTCAACTGAAATGAGTTTTGTTGTATGAACTGGAGCCTTTTGTATTTCCTTGATGATTTCCTGGAAGCATAGAGGCTCATTTGTAGATCCTGTATACATTAAAGAGGTTTGATTTGTGACTGGAAACCGACTCGAGGTTGAAGTGTGAGAACAGAAAACATTAGGCCCGCCGTTCTAATGAGACTGAACACTATGGTGAGCTAGAAAGAAAAGGTACATTCATTAGGGTGAAGTTTTATTTTTTCCTTCATTTTCCATTTTAAGATTTAACATGTTTTTAATTTAATAAAATGCATACTGATTTTACAAGGTGTCAGGATCCTTTTTTTAAGATATATATTTCATATTTAGAGGCAGGAATATAAAGGGATTAAATCTCTCCTGCAAACTGGAGACGTTGGAGAGCTGATTAAAGTATTTAGTCCCTGGGAGGGAATTTGTTTAAGTAATGACAATGCAGAGATGTTCCTGTGACCTTGTTGCTGCACTGCTGCATCACGAAAATTTCCACCTGAGCACTTACTCACGTTGGCCTCTAGGTGGCAGTGTAAGCTGCACCAAATCCAGATAATTCCTCTTTATGGGTTTCAGTTGAAGGTGGTTCTTATTGGATTTGCATTGAAACAGACTCGAGGAGGTTAGTTCCAAATAAATAAAAGTGGAGTGGAGTTATCCATCCAATGAAATAGGAGGATAACTGAAAAGGTTTCTAGTTTGTTTTTATATGGTAGTAGAATATTGTAGAAAACATCTTAATGTTTTTGTTCTTGGTGGAAAGGTTGATTAATAAGACAGAAAAGCAGAAACAAAACCAATCTATACTGATGAAAGACTTCACTCTTTACATTTTGCTATATAAAAACAAATAACTGAATAGTTTTTTCTCTTCAGGCCTCTGACATTATTCAGATAAAGGTCAGTTGCACTGGTAACAAACAGACGTTGCTTTGTTTTAAGGGGTGATGAGCTATAAAGGTTGGGAACTACTGCAGTTAGTGTTGATGCCATATTCCACCATATTATAATATAATATATAATATTAATTGTTTGAAACAGTCACATGATGCTTATAATAAGGAATTTAATAAAATAAATAATTTAAAATTTATGTTAAATAACAGCCTTTGTTCTTTGTAACACCGTTTTCTTTTTTACTGGAGATTTCTCTTTAAAGGCTGAATGTTTGGATGCAAAATGTACAATTGTTTTAACATTAAAGGTTATTAATCACCCTGTATAGGTAGTAAATACACACACACACAGAACAGCAGATACCATTCTACCTGTGGTTTATTTTTTTGTTTTGTTAAAAAAGAGTAGGCTCATAAAACTTTCCATTTTATATACGTATTTAACAGTTTACAAAATTGGCTTTAAACATTTCATTCAAAATATTTCTTATACTCTGAAATAAACAAATTCACAAAAATAATCTATATTCCTTATGAACATTAAAAAGTAGTGTACATCTGTCATAAAAACAAGGAAAACAAAAGGAGGAGCGTGGGTTCATGTAAAAAAGCAGCAGAGGGCAGATTACCAGCTGTTAATGTTCAACAACAGGTGACTGTCGACTGAGCCCGGACAGATGCAGAAATTCCTCCCAATGAAGTTAAAACTCTGGGAATCAATGGAGTGTTTGTGGTGCTGTGGAGGAATTTAGAGGACTCTCTGTGTGTTTGTGTGTGTCGGAGGAGTAAACCGACAGCTGCGTTCACTGAAATCACGTCCTATTGCTGTAATGGCAGAAAAGAGGATAACGGTGCTTCATCAATAAACCATTAAACACAACTGTCTTGTAGAAGGTTTTTCTAGGGCACAAGTCCAAAAACACTGATACGTCTATAGACTACTGGTGTCCGTCTATTTCAGCTTTAAAGCACTACTGTGTGATGTTTTTCTCCAGGATCATGCCAACACAACTGTCGAATCTGTAACAAAAGGGACCCAATTTGGATATTCAAAAGCCAATTTATTAGGTTATGACAAACACGTGTGAAGGCTAACCTTTTTTTGGGACTTAACAAGCTGATCAGGGTTGGGCGATATGACGATATATAGCCTGAGATTCTGCCATACCACTCATACTGAGGTACCTATCTACTTCATATGGCTACACTGGATATACAGGATGTTTGCATCAATGTGATGTAGTACCTTGATCTGTCAGATATTTTATTGACTGGATTAGCCAAAAACAGTATCTTGCAATAGTTTCTCAATTGAACGTCCAGAAAACTGATCACAATATACACTGCTGCTACTACTAATCACATATACGCTCATAGATTTTATCCATATTGCCCAACCCGGATGCTGTTTATCAGTATTACGTGATATGGATAGGAAAATATTAGATAACAGTATCAGTTTGGTAAAAAAATAAAATAAAATAAAAATCAGTGCATTCTTTATGCAGATATAACACTCAGAATATGAAATGTACCTGGGTGGACCAAATTTCTCCTGCTAGCCACAAATCTACATAAAAGCACAACATTTTAATACTCACAGAAAAAAACGGTTGCAGTGTTACAAACACTTTTCAGACCAGCTGAAGAAAGTTCTCAATCTAAAACACAACAACAGGAATGACCCTGTCCCTCCCTCCCTCTGCCATTTGAGCATCCGACAGCTTATTGTGAATCTGTCTAACGGAGTGTGTGTGTGTGTGTGTGTCCACTGAACAATGTGCCGATACAGACAAAAGCCATGTGGATGTTTAAGGCATCTGTCAATATAAAGAGGATTATCTTTAAAGTCTCTTGACTAATCTGGAGTGGATCTGTCCTGAAGGCCCCTCCAACAGGATGTGATGTAACAGAACAGGGACAGTGGGAGCGTCTGCGGTAAGTGCATTTGTTTTTTTCCCTCCCTCCAGTCCCCCAGTTTGTCTTTTTGAGGCTACTCAACAAGCTCATCTTTTTTTACGGTGGCAAATCCAATGGTAAACACATTCCCCGAGAAGAGGAGCTTTATTCCTTTTCCTTGTAACAGCGCAAAGATTGCTTCATCACTAACTGCCGTGATCATTGGGAAGCTCTGAGGACTTCACGTGCTTCTCCTCCACCTCAGCGAGGGCCGTCTCCAGCTGCTGGATCAGTACCCGCTTCTTGAACCTGTCAAAAAAAAAAAAATTAGAAAGAAGCAGGGAATAAAGGGAGTTTCTAAAAACAAAGCGGGGGAGATTCATGTGGGTGAACCTGCTTTAAAAGGTTATGAAAATAACCGCAGTGTGCTTATGACTCATTGTTAATAGCTGCAGCTCCTCAACACATCTGTTTCTTACCTGACAGCCTCTTTGATAGCATATTGGATGAAGTACTTCTGAACATTAACTGGTCCTTTCACTTGCTGCAGTAGTCTGAGTATTGCCTCATAGTCTGAGAGAAAACACACAGCCATATGTTTTCAATATGACACTTCAGCAGATTAGGATAAAATGAATGTTATGTGATACACTGCACCGGCTCATACTCACTTCGCCCCGGTTTGCGGACCTCCTTGATGACCCGACTCCTCAGCTCTGCTTGGCTGCCATCTAGTGGGGCTATGAATATGGTCTCGAGCACTGCGGGGTCAGCTTCACTCATCTCGAGCTGGCTCTGTGGACTCAGTCGCTCACAGTTGTGTTTCTCCTCCAGCGGCTGCTCATCTAGATGATCTTCTGCTAGTCTCTCCTCCATCATGTTGATGTCCTCGCCCTGATCTGCTACCCCCATCCCGGCCTTCTCCTCTAGGCTCAGGGAAGATGGGCTTTCTGCTACAGTGTCCAGCTCAGAAGGCCAGATGTCCCCCGACTCAGGCCCAAGGACCCCGTCCCCGTTACTCTCAGCGACCACCATGTTGTTGCCATCCACTTCTGTGGGGATAACAAATAATTTAACACTAATATTCAGTGACACTTGTGCAACATTTCCCAATCAATTCCTCATTGTCTGTTTGTCCTATGATTAACACATCCAGCCTCACTGCAGTCTTCTTACCTTTGTGCTGTGGGATGGGTTTGAGCAGGTTCTGCTGCCCTTGAACCCCTACCGGACTCTTCCCCGCCGCCACATGGTTGTTGTTGCTTGGTGGAGTCTGTGGCCGCCGCAGTAACGGGGACATACTCCGCCGTCTCTTCATAGTAGCACCTGAGTTGGGATCGCTAGAATTTCCTCTTTTCTTATTTTGAGGGCCCGCTACAAACTCATCTGCCTCATCAATCATCATCCCCTGAGATAAACGACAAAACAAAGCATTAAGGAGTGAAAGGAGTAAATGCTGAATAAGGAGCCTCTCCTAAAGTGTATCGGCCAGTATTTTTGTGTTGATATATTTTTACCTTCTTATCCTGCTTGAAAGGATTCCCAAAAGTGTGCAGGCGTTTCGGTTGGTCAGGGTCAATCTCTCTCAGAGGAGACGGCATCATTTTTAGGTACTCCTGATAGTTTCCCATCTGAGCTACTGGAATGCTGTGCAGATAGTCTGACAACCACAGAAAATGTTATTAGTAGTAATAAAATACTGTAGTAACTACACAGGATTTCCTATAGATTGTTTTGTGTTGGTTTTGGGAATATTTGGTGATTTGGGTGGTTTGATTAGTATGAAATTAGAAATATATCTCAAAGGTCCAATGTAACATTTAGAAGGCTCTAATGCCATAAAAATGGAATATAATATTCATA